ATTATTTAGTTATTTCTGAAACACCCTCCCCTATACATTACATGGAAATTAGTTTTTAATATATATGAATTTTTGGAAACTCAAATATTCAAGTTATAGCACCCATCTTTAGTTCAATGATCTGTTTGGTTTTGGCTAAATTTACTGTTAATTCTATCCCAGTTAATTTTGATTTCATGTATATTTTACTTGTAGAAAAGTTCAACTAAACACTCTATTCAAGGTCCGTGTCTTTTCTTTACATTTACAACCTCTCACCCCCATTATCTTCATAGACTTGACACAGTTCCCATGCTTGCTTTAGTGTTTGATCAGTGTCATGTGTCTCTGCGTTTCTTTAGCTGATGTTTCCTTTAACTACTTCCCCCTTTGTTTTGAGTTACATTTCCTCGTTGGCTGTATGTCAAGTAATTCTTTTCATAGTGTGAATATTACAAGGTGACTGATATCTTGTAAAGACATTGGTTTCTTTCAAAGCAACAGCCAAATTACAGGCAAATTCCTTTGATATTTTACCGAAGCTTGGTTGAGGATTAGCTCGAGCAAATCTCTTTTGGTTTTCGCCCATGGTAAAAATCTTTTCATTTTGAGATAGACTTTATGCTTCTACATTGTGACATTTTCTGGGACTTGAGGATTTCTGAGATACTTGCCTGTCACTCCTAATTTGGCAAGAGTCAGATTCTAGCTCTTCTGTAGAGCTAGCTGGTAAAAGCTGTAGGGGTTCCATTCAGTTGTTTTCTCCTGTTTCTCTAAGTCTTATCCCATGTGTGCAGGGGTAAGCCTCGAGGAAAGTAAGCATAGATTTGGGGTTCTTTACCAATGGCTTCCTTTTTTCAGAAATGGCCTGAATTTCTAACAACTCTGTAGATTCTCACCCAGACTTCTCATCAGGACATTTGACTAGTCTTGAGCTATATCTGCTTTGTGTCATTTGGACTATGGATGCCTTCAGACCAAAAACCTAGTAACCATCCAGTGCAGTTCACACAACGCCCTTGTGTTCCTTCCTGATTTTGGTTGTTTTTCTTTTTCTTTTTCTCACTGGTATGTGTGTACTTCCCAGAATTCTTCTATTGTCACTATGAAAGTTTGCCTGATAACAGCAATTCATTACTGGAAAAGAAGACCAGATACTTATTTTTTTTCCCCAGATGAAAGAATATATGGGGCTAAATCATGCTAAGAAAGCACTCTCTGTTTCTTTTTCTTGGGTTTATGGAATATTTGTTCCATAAACTGAAACAATGATCCACCAGTCAGGAAATTATACTCAAATCTTCCTCTCTGTGAAACTAACCTCAAATAAACAAAGATTTATGTAGAATTTCCATGAATCATTACACTATTGAGCAAAGCTCCTCCATCGCGTCCCTGGAAGTGTGACTTCCACTTATCCACTCTGTTTCCCAGGGCCTTACACAGCACTTGACATGGTCCGCTTGGGCATCTTCCATATTGTAGATCACGTGGAGCACAGCCCACTGAGCAGAAGGGAGACAACAAACTCCAGCTTTCAATTCTGGATACTGAGCAAAGAGAGGTTAGAACTGGACAGAGTCTGGATTTGAATCCAAACATTTTGATGTTGTTAGAGTTTTTGCCTCTGTCGGTTTTTTTCTCCCTATTGCTGGAATTGAAAATACTCCAACAAAATCAATTAAAGAGAGAAAGGTTTGTTTTGGCCCACGATTCAAAGTGTAATCCGTCATTGTGGGGAATTCAAGGGAGTAGGAACCTCAAACAGCGGGCCACATTGCATCCACAAGGAGGAAGAGCAAGTGATGAACGCCTGCTAGTTCAGCTAAGCTCTTCATTTTGTAGAGTCCCCCATCCCCTGCTCAGGGAACAGTCCTGGCCACAGGTAAGCTGAGTCTTTCTACACCAATTGACCACTTTAAGATAATCCCACAGGCATCCCAGATGCCCCACTCCCAGGTGAGTCTAAATTCTGCCAAATAGACCATTAACGCTAACCATGGGAACATCTACCTGTCTATTCTCTCTCTCTCTCTCTCTCTCTCTCTCTCTCTCTCTCTCTCTCTCTC